TGATCTTGCTATTGAAAGTAGTTAGATTACTTATGATATTGTGTGGTCAAGGAAATGTTGGGGGAAAATGAATTGAAGACAACTGTAGACAGCAGAGATAGTGTAATAAGAGAGTGGAATAGGGCAGAGGGTCAGACATGGGGTAAAAAACATATATATATGAAAGTAGAAGTGGAATATTATGGATGATAACATGCATGATTAAGCCACTATCCAGTTTATTCTAGATGGGAAACCACATTTAGTATGTTATGATGATGCTCAGGGAATGAATATAAATTAATGTAAAAAAAATTTCAGAAGAATAAAAAAAGCATTAAAAATACCTATTTGATGACTGCAGTAAGCTATATAACCCTAGCTAGGTGCTACTTTATAGTATGATCATTCTATTCACTGAGGTTTATGCCTAAAGTCAGACTTGTGTTCATGGATACGTATATATCAGCTGTGCTTGCTATTGAAAATATTTAGATTTATTAAGATACTTAGTGAAACAATAAAATGGGGGAGGCATAGAAAGCAACAATAGATACCAGACACAGTGTGGGAGGAGGGTGGGAGATGGCAGAGGGTGAGATAGGGAATCAAGGATGGGAAAAAAGGCAAAATATACAGGAAACAAGAAATGGAAAATTATGTGTTGACAATAACACATATGTTGATGTGCTTGATTGAGCCAATATACAGTGTATTCTGAATGGAAAAATCTCATTTTGTATGCTATAATGATGTACAGTGAATGAATGTAAATAAATAAATAAATAAATAAAAGAAATGTAAAAAAAATAAATTTAAAAAAAAGAATTAGAGACACAGACACAGACACAGACGGGGGAGTGCCCGCAAAGAGCAGCGCTCCCAAGCGGGGAGTGGTTCCTGGGGAAATGGGCCTCCCCAGAGGAGCTGGAGCAGTGGGGTGGGGTGGGGTTATTTGGGACAGTGGGGCTTTGTCCGGGCTTGTTCTAGTTGGGGCTGAAGCATGTGTCCCCTGCCATGGTGAGGGTCACACGCCCGGATGGGTCCAGTTATCCTCTTACTTTTGGAGAGGGTGCAAAGGTCAGGAGATTCTTTGTTCCCAAGCTTTGGGTCATAAAACTGTGATCTTATCCTCTTCCTGGAATGCGGTGGGGCCTGGGAAAAACCTTAATTCTCTGGTCTAGGTCCCGCTGCCTGGGTCAGTCACTAAGCCACTGCTGCAAACGGTCTCTGAGTAAAACTTGGCCATTTTGTGATTCCGTCGTGGGTCTGTACCCTAACTATATCCTTGGGGCTCCTGTCTCCTCCCTCACGATCAGGACCAAGGCCATATAAACAATCGAATGCGTCCTTGGGCGCGTCGCTTTTCCCCTGGGCTGCGTGCCTCGAACAGAATTGCTGGGCACAGAGTTGTGTGTGTGTGTGTGTGTGAGTGTGTGCGTGTACACGCGTGCATATTTTGTTTGTTTTTTTAACATACCAGATGATGCATGCTATTGCCAGAAAGAGGAAAAGCAAGAAAGCACCTCCCGTGGGGAATGGTCACATGCAACCCCTTCTCCTCCATTTCTCCCTCTCTTTGGGATTTTGGGCACGCGCGCATATGCACGTGGCATTTTTCTCTAGCTGCTGGCTCTGGACAAACCGCGTAATTGCCGTGTGGAATCTAGGATAGCTCATGTAACCTCCAGGCCATGGGTCAGCCCAAGTGTGCTTATCCTTACCTTCAGAAGATAACACTAAAATAAACTGTTTTCCTAAATTCGTTTCTTCAGTTTCCTCTCCTACTGGAAGCGTATGAGAGCTTCCAAGACTAGCACTTGGCGTGGTGGTTAGGGTGCTGGATCCCACACGGCCAACTCCGTGGTTATAGTCTGGACCCAGCGGCTTAAGAAACATACAGGTGTGTGCATTTATGCCCACATTCTGTTTTTTGTTTTTTCTTTTTTTGTTGTTGAGGTTTTTGCTATAGGGCGCATGTGCTCGCCAGAAAGACAGACAGAGAGAGACAGAGAGATAGAAAACGAGAAATCACCCGCCAGGGGGGATGGCCACGCCGCAATCCCTTCTTCTCCATTCTCCTCTCGGGATCTTGGGCATGCACGTGCACGTGCCCGGCGTAAGTTTAAGCCACCGGATCCGACACTTGAACCGCAGTCGACTACCTGGGAGTCCAGCGACATAGCCATTATGCTAACTGCTGGTCCCCATGCCCACATTCTGAGAATGGAGAAGAAATCGCAGCATGGCCAACACCCCGGGGGGGATTTCTTGTCCCCTCTCCCTCTGTCTCACTCTGGTGACCACATGTGTGTTATGGCAAAAATCTAAGAGAACAGATAAAGCAAATTTTATATTAAAAACACCACCAGATGTGAAATGGTGTTTTATTGTGGTTTCAGTTTGCAAGGTCTGATGACTAAGGAAATAACCCATCCTTTCATACACGGATTGACCACTGGATTTCCTCTGGTGACATTTGTGTATGACATGAGGGACCGAGTTCCCCTCTGTTCCAGATGGACTGTCACAGCCCCACTGCGGCCCTTCTTCCTCACCACGAGGCCTCCACCTCTCACATGGTGTCCTCACGTGCGGCCCAGATTCCGGGCTCGCCATCTGTGACGTCTGAACGTTTGTGCCCCTGCCCCCCACATTCATATGCTGGATCCTTCTTTTAATTGCCAGAGGATGTGTGTGCTTGGCGAACGGAGAGGGAGAGGCAGAGGGAGAAAACGGCCCCGGACAGGGGTGGTCAGCCTGCAATCCCTTCTCCATTCTCCAAGCTGTCAGGATTTAGGACACACATACATGTGCCAGGAGTGTTTTTCAAGACGCTGAGGCCGAGACCCAGATTGTGATCCGCCATGTGGGATCTGGCTCCCCTTAACCGCTGGGCTATGGGCTGGCCTCCCATGTTGAATTCTAAGTCTGAAGGCTACTAGGTTTTAGGAGGTAAGAACATTGGGAGGTGGCGAGGTCGTGGCAGCGCCCTCATGAATGGGGTCACTGCCCTCACAAAAGCGGCCCCAGAGAGCGGCCTCACTCCTCACCACGTGAGGCCACAGCACGAAGCTGCCATCTACAAACCAGGAAACGCCCTCACCAGACATGAGTCTGTCGGCACCTCGGCCTCAAGTCGGCTCCTGGGCCCGACTTCACCGCACCCGTGGTCTGGCGGCTGACCGCCTCCTCCCCACCTGCACCCCGCGGAGCAGCTCAGGCCTGTCCAGCAACTCCAGCCCAGCTCCCCACACCAAGCCAGGGACATCCCTGCCACCCTGTGGCCAAATCCCACCCTTTCAAGGAAGTCTGAACCTTCCAAGTGGAGCTTTCCCTAGGCCCTTCCCCTCGGCCAGAGTGCCGTATGATTTCCTTACATCTCATCGCTTACTCTTTAAAACTGCTTAAAATAGAGAGTGAATTCACACGCCCTGACGTGCACCTCCCAGAGCGCACACTTCAGTGGTTCTACCGTCCTCGCAAGGTTGTGCCGCCATCACCGCTCTCGAACTGCACGACAGTGCAGCATCCCCTAAAGCCCCAACCCCGTCAGGGCCAGCAGGGGCCATGGAGGTTAGAGCGCTTGATCCCTCATGGCTGACTGTGCAGTCGAGGCCCAGACCCGGCAGCTTGAAAATCACACCAGGTGCATGTGCGTGTGTGCGCAAAATCTCGAGAGGATAATGGAAAAGGGACCGTGTGGTGGCAATCCTCCAGTGAGTGCATACACAAACATCTAAATACACAAATAAGAAGCCCCAAACCCATTAGCTGTCACTCTCTCAATCCTTCCTGTCTCTGGTGACCGCTAATCTGCTTTCTCCTGCAGACTGGCCCACTGGGTGTTTTACGTGAATGGACTTGCACATCACGTGGCCACCTGTGCGGCGTGCTTCACTTAGAGCCTTCCATCCCCAGGGCTTACCCACGCTGTAGGAGTGTTCTTTCTCCACTGCGGGGACAAACTGCATGTTGTAGATCCATCCACCTGTGTGTGGTGGCGGTTTAGTTTGCTATAGGGCACACGCACTTGCCAGAGAGAAACAGACAGAGAAAGTGAGAGACAAGAAAAGTGAGAAATCACCCCTAGAAGGGATGGTCACATCATAATCCTTTCTCTTCTGTTTTAAGAGAGATTTTTGCTATAGGGTACATGCACTTGAGAGAGACAGAGAAAGACAGACAGACAGAAAGCATGAAATCACCCCCTAGGGGGGATGGCCATGCCACAATCCCTTCTCCTCCATTCTCCTCTCAGGATTTTAGGCACACATCTGGCGAGAGTTTCAAGTCACTGGGTCCAGGGCTCAAACTGCAGTTGAGTATGTGGAAATCCAGCAATGTAACCATTATGCCACCTGCTGGCCCCTCTTCTGTTTTCTCTCGGGACTTTGGGCACACACAAAGTGCCCCGGTGATTTTAAAGCTGCTGGGTCCAGGACTTGAACTGGCCATGGGATCTAACCGCCTCAACTTCCACACCTCTGCTGGCCAGTCCAGTCATCTGCTGATGGGCACCCAGGAGCGTCCACCCTCTGGCTTTTGTAAATAATGCTGCTGCAATGAATATGGATGTGCAGGCTTCTCTGTGGGTGGGTGTTTTCAGTTCCCCTGGGCACTAACCCAGGCGTGGAAGTCACACTATTCTTATTAATTCTTCTGTTGAATGTCTGGTCCACCTGCAGAGGGGTTTCATCTTGTGGGCCTGGACTGCTGTTGTGCCTTCCCAGCTTGCCCACAGCACGTCGGAGCGTAGGCAGGTATGGGGCTGAAATCCCAGCTCGGCACCCTCCCCTTCCCGGTGGGTACAGTCACGCCCCTGCAGGTCTGTGGCTGGTGTGATAGTGCTCGGCACACAGTGGGCCTGCGGTTACTGCTGGTGACCTGCTTCGGTAGCAGAAGCACGTCAGCACGTCTGCGGGTCTGCTCTGGCTCTGGCTATGCCTTTGTGAAACGTCTGGGCCTGACGTCTGTAAGTGAATGAAGATGTCCTTGTAAGATAAGGGCAGACTCAGAGGGGAAGGGGAGGGGCAGAACCTGGTCGTTTTTATTTAGAAAGTTAAGAGAAAACCCCAGATAAGAACTCTTCCTGCCATTCGCCTGCCAGATGAGCAGCTCATTTCCCACCACCCCTGGTCTCTCCGCAGCGCCTCTCCTTGTCCTGGGTCCATCCCATTCCATGGAGCCCGGAGGCCGCCCAGGGCCAGCAGCAGCTGCCGAGGGCTCACTGCTGTTGAAAATGAATGAAGAACGTCCGGATTTCCTTTGGGTGGATGGTGACGATGGGGTTTCCTGAAGGCCTCAAGGGAGAAGTGTGGCTGCCTGGAAACAAGAGGTGGTCTGTCCAACACTGTCCCCTGGAGCTGCTGCTGCTGCCTCCTCTGGATACTGCTCTTGTCTACAGTCTACTGTGGCTCCCACCATGAGGATGGCCCTCGGCTGCTCCCACCTGCCAGGACTGCTGCTGCAAGTGGGGCCCAGAGGGCTGGGACGCAGCAGAGTAACATACAGCTTGGTCTTGGACCTCACTTCCCCACGGGAGGTTGCAGCTTCTAACGAGGCCATCTGGTGAACCCTGCCCTTTAGCTCATGAGGTCCCACTGAAGTCATGACCTGGGGTTTGGGCCTTATCCACCAACTGCCCGTCCTCCTCCCCTTTCTCTATCCAGCTATCACCTTCCATTCAGCCATTTGCCACCCACGTTTCCTTCCGTCCTACCCACCCACCCATCACCCACTACCCTCTTTGGGGACCCTCTCCTCCCCTCCCTCTCCCCCCTTCCCCCTTCCCGTCCTTTCTCTTCCTCCCTCCCTCCCTTTCGTCCATTCAGCCACCACCAAGTGTTCACTATGTACTGAGCACCACGCTGTGTGCAGGGACAAGGGGGTGCACAAAACAGAGGGAACGCTCGGGGCCCCCAAGAACGGAGGAGGCACCTGACCCAGCCAAGGGCTCGGGAGTGGTGGAGGGCTTCCTGGGAAGCTTGAGCAGGGACTGGCCAGAAGGAATGAGTCAAGGCATGCCAGGCAGAGGGATGGCACGGGCAAAGATAGGGGCATGAAGTTGCCTGCGGCACACAGGGTTGATGGTGGCAGGAGCAGTGGGAGGCACAGAATGGCTGATGTCAGCAGGCCGAGTCCGGGGAACACGCGAGTGGGCACACACGTGGGTGCTTGCACACTGGCGCACACGCGTGCAGGCCTGTATGAATCCCTGGCAGCTGGACACTGGCCCAAAGCTTTCTCAACCTGTTGTGCAGGGATAGGAGATCTATCATGGTGGACAATGGAGGGCTGAGATTCAGAGGCGGAAAGCGACTCCTCCAGGTTACCCAGGCCTTAGGGGCAGGGGGCTGGGTCTGTCCAGCTCTCAGGCCTAGCTGAGACAGAACTGGGGGGTGGGGGCAGGGGCTCCCAGACCTCCGTGGTGGCCAGTCTTTGTCCTCCAGCTCCAGCGGTGCAGCTTGCTCACGTCCCAGGTCCCCGTGAGTGACCGCTCCTTTACTGCCACCACGGACCCCAGACCATGCAGCAGGGCCTGCAGGGACAGGAGCAGAGTCGGGGTGAGCTATGCAGATACCCCAGATCTGAGCAGGGAACTAACACAGCATGGACTGTGTGCCCTCAGATCGCCAGACCCTGCCCGGGTCTGCAGTACCCCTCCTGCATGTACACCTCGTGCATGTACACCTCGTGCATGTACACCTCGTGCATGTACACCTCCTGCACGTACACCTCCTGCACGTACACCTCCTGCATGTACACCTCCTGCATGTACACCTCCTGCATGTACACCTCCTGCATGTATACCTCGTGCATGTACACCTCCTGCATGTACACCTCCTGCATGTACACCTCCTGCAATATTCAGCATGTCTGCAGGGACAGGACAGGCGGCCTATTGAATAGGTAAGGACACTGGGGCTGCGGAGGCATACGCGTCACCTGGCTGCCAAGGGGGTGAGCAGGCCCAGAGCCGGCAAGCCTTCTGAGCTGCTGTCCAGCATCGAGTCCCCTTCTCCCCAGCAGTGCTAGGTGGCATTGTCCCCAACCCAGGAGTGAAGCCAGGAGTGGAGCCCTTCTCCTAACAAGCATGGTCCTAGCCCCCTTTGGAGCTAAGCGAGGCAGGAGGCCCAGCAAGTCCTGGAAAAGTTGCTGAGTGGGGGTGAGGGGGCAGTTCTTGGAGAGGCCGATAGGAGGAGAGGCCACTGTAGGCCTGGGCCCTCCTTGCTGCCACCACCCACCCCCTTTACCCTCAGATGTGCTTGTGAGGGAGGCCCGTGCCATTGCGAGACCCCAAGAGATGAGCGGGAAGACAAACGCCCAGCATGCCGACGGTGGCCGGGCGGGACGGTGCAGTGCTGGGCAGCGGGACTGTCAGCATTCACTTTCTGCTGGACGTGGACGCTCAGGCTGGGGGGACACAGGGTCCTGCTCCTGCACTCCCTCTGGGTGTCCTCGGGCCAGCAGCCAAACCCATCCCTACTGCCGACGCTGCTCTCACCCACCGCCCTGCCCATCCCACGGCCAGGAGGAGCTCGTGGAGCCCGCCTGACCATCTCCTCTTCCTGGCTCAGCACTTTCACCTGTGAGACTGGGGCAGCACAGACGGCTGGCTTCCGGGTTCTACGCTGGCCTCCTCGTCCCCATTAGCCTACCGGCTCAGTGCCCACTGCGGCCTAGAGGGCCCAGACATGCTCTCGCCCTCCAAGGGCCCATGATCAGGCCAGGAGACTGATGAGGAGCGAGGTGCCCCAGGGCGCCAGGTGGTGGCACAGTGGTAACGCTGCTGGACCTGCACGAGGAAGGTCCTAGGGCCTCCCTGCGCACACTGGGTGCACATGTGTGCCCATGACCCAGGCTGGCCGAGGCTGGCGGTGGACTGTGGGATGAAGACCCTGTAGTGTCTTTCTCCCTTTCTCTCTCTGGCTCTCACGGAAGAAACACATTAAAAAGAAAAAGAAAGAAAGAAAGAGCCGCGTCTTCCTCATAGTAAGGCCATGAAGGAGCGAGGATGGAGGACACAGGGGAAGCGCCATCGGGGAGACCGCAGAGGCTTCCCTGGGTTCCCCTGAGGACAGAGATACGGAGCCAAACCTCTGGCACAAACGGCCATGTACAGAGATGATCTGGGAGCAGAAAAGGAAATGAAGAGCTCAGAGCCTCCGGAAAGAAGGCAAACTGAGGAAGAAATGAGGCATTTTAAGGTCCTATCTCCTGGGGGAGAAAGAGAACATGGTCAGGCTGGGCAGCAGGGCCTTGCCTGTTAGCCGGGGCTCAGAGGGTGACGACAGGGCTTAGACAGGACGGTGGAGAGGAGGCCGGGGGGCACTGACGCCTGAGAGCCCCACTTAGGTGCCAGGTGCTTGCGTGCAGGTCTAATGCCAGAGCCTTTCAATAGGCTGAAGAAACCTAGGCCCAGGGGCCAGGGCACTGAGACGCCCCAATGGATGCAGATCTTTGACTGTCTCAGTCACCCCTCAAAGGGAATCTGTGGGAGAGTCTGTTTTGTTTTCTGATCACCCAGATGACATCGGTGTTGTTCAAAGTTTTACAACATGGATAAATAAGGAGGAGAAAAAACAGCCCACTGCAGACACGACAAGTCCAGAAGACAGTGGGGAAGTAAGAGGAGGGGCGGGAGCCCCCAGCAGAGCCTACACCAGCATTGTGGGGGTTTGCCTCAGGAGGCCTGAAGCAGTCATCCAGGGATGGGGTGAGGGCGGCTTACCTTCAGATTCACTGTCACTGGCCGAGACAAGACTGGATCCTCCCCTGTCTCATACAAGTGGTGGAGCCTCAGCAGGACACGACGGAGGTCTGCCTGGGCCTTCCCTCGGTGGCCTTTGGGGACAGAAGGAAGGTGGCATCGAGAGCCCCATCAACCCACCCTGGTGCTTTACACACTCGTCTCCATTCCACACCCCCATCTCCTGCTGAGGGGGCTGAAGAGGCCCCCACTGGACAGACAAGGAAACCAAGCTCAGAGAGGGCAGTCACCTGCCCACGGGCGCTCAGCTGGTGTGCCTAGGGGAAGGTGTCAGTCCAGGCCTAGCCAACTCTAAGGCCTCCCTCCACAACACACAGGGGCCAGTACCAGTGTCTGAAAAGTCTCAGGCCTCATTCGCTGCACGGTTGCCATTGGGCCTGTCCTTAAATGCTACTGCTCTTGCCTTTCCTGCCCCTTCTCTTCCCTGGGCAGTCAGGTGTGGCCATGTGGCCATGCAGCCAATGCCAAGTCAGCAGAAGGAAGGCGCCA